AAACTCCTTCTCAGATGAATTCTGGGATTTAGCACTCCTTTATACCACTCTGGACGTTTTCTGTGATATAATAGGGTAGAAGAAAGAGGATTTCATCCAGTGTCTATAAAATGCTTTGAGAAGTTCAGCAGTCTAGAAACAAAGTACACTTTGCAATGTTAACATTCCACATAGATGATAATGATTACTACTTACTGTCAAAAGCATATTTAAATATAGTGCATGCAATATGAATAAATTAATATTCCTATGAACATCTCAGCTCTTGTTGTTTACTTTTTGTGCATTTAGATCTTAAAGTTGTACCTTCCTTTAATTTCCTGTAGTTTGGGAATCTTGATTTGGGGGGTTTTTTGGTGGGTGTTTTTTCTTAAAATCTGAATACCTGTATTCTTGTCAGGCAAACTTTGAGATTTGCAACACAGTAGAATAAGACTGAAGAATTTGCAATACTTGTTTTTTGGGTTATAGACCACCATTTTTTGGAACACTTAAGGAACACTGTTTAAAGGAACACTTGCAAAGACTAACTGAGATAGTAGATACCTCCTACCTCCCACTTCATGATGCGAGGAAAAAATGTTTATTTTGGTTTGTTTCTTGCTTGTTTAGAACCTTAGAAATATCAGGAATGTCAAGTTTGGTCTGTCTTGTTTTTTGTTGGCAGATTTCTTGGATGACTTTGTAAATTAGGAATTTTCTCAGGCCTCAAATAAATGGGTATGCAGTTTGTCTTTAGATGGAGCTTTTGTCTGAGTAGCTTGAGTTAAATGGGGGAATTAAAAATGGAGTTAGCCTGAATAAAAATTATTCTGTTAATTAGATTCATTGTCATGAATCTTTTTTTTTAATTTGAAAACAGAATAGAAATAATTAATTTTGAGTTTTCTTCAACTTAAAGTGTTTTATTTTTTAAAACTGGAAAGTTTCTTTATTCTGGGTTTAATCTGCAATTTTCAATTTCTTTCTTTCTTAAAATGCACTCTCAACACTTCTATTTTTTATAGTGTGGAGAAAGAATGGGAATAAAGCAGAACAAAGCTGCTAAGAGTCATCTTTTTCTGCTAGTACAGAATTTATTTTCAGTTCCCAACTTAGCAAAGCCTATATTGTCTTCCACTATAAATCCATATTGTATATTTTACTGTGAAAACAGAAAAATAACTTAATTTAGAGCCTGTTGTTTTGAAAAACTTGTGGATGTCTAAGTAAATCATGGCAGCCTGAAAACTGCTGACACCTTGATATGGCATGTCTCTTTCCAGGATAGCTTAGCATGCTTTCTGAAACTGAAGACCAGCTGCGTAAATGTGGTTATGAATGGGCTTTAAGTGTAATGTTGTAAAGGGGAAGGATGATAGGCTAGTGTGTAAATCCATGTTTAGGGAAATGTACAAATGATACTGCATGTGAAATTCGTGGTGGAATGAAGAAACAGTATAGCTGGGAGTGGGCTCTGCTTTTCAAAATGGTTGCTGTATTGGAAACTGTGGAAGAAATTCCAGTTATGCTTAAACATATGTGCATATTTTTTCCAGTTTTTCCATATAAATAAATAGTAAGTATGTGGGCAGATCAGTGGCTTCCAGATCATATATGGAATATATGGATTTTGGTGGAGCTGGAAAGGAAGACAGGCAAAATGAATGCAGTGATAATTCCTTTACATGTAAATGGTGTTCTCACGGTACTGACCACAAATAACTTGAAAATGCAACCTTGCATTTTTCTTTAAAGTATTTCGTATGAATGAAAAAATGCAAATTCAAGATGGTCAAGTTTTACCCGTTTTGAGGACACGGTTGAAGCAAGTCTCTGAAAAAATGCAACTTAAACTTTAGCTACATTGTGCCAAAGAAGCCTGAACAGTCCTATGAAATGCTGAACATGGCTGACTTTAAGCTGTACCCTCAGTATTCCACACTTGTTGAACAGTCAAGGATCATTTTTCTGATCATCACCTAAGCAGCTATTTCCTGTCAGACAAAAAAAATCAGCTAGAGAATGCCAAATGGAGTAATTGCAGAGAAAAGAGCTAATTCTGCCAGGGAAACTGGAACAGTAGCATTCTAAACAGTGATGAAGGCAATCTTTTTTTTTTTTTGGGGGGGGGGTTGTTTTTTGTTTGCTTGTTTTTTTTGTTTTTTGGGGTTTTTTTACACTGAAGGAGCATGAGCGTAAGGGACAAGCTGGGGAAGTAGAGGAGGTACAGGATGATGATGGCACCATACTTTTATGCTGGGGTGCCTCGCTAGATTTTTGGGGAGAAGTGGTGATGTTACTGGTTTTCTATTCTTCTGACTGGGGTGTGTGCAGATTACAGAAGTTTGGGCAGTGAAGACTTTTAGTCATTCACTGAGTGGCCTCTCCAATTCCTCCTGTTAAACTGACTGCTTTTGAAGGTGCTTCCTTCCAAAGTCACATTAATCTTGATCTTTGATAAAGTTCTTCGCTAATGTCTTTTTCTCTTTTTTAGGTAAAGAAATTTAAAGCCTTTGATGGAGATGTATCAAAACTGTCTCAAACCGATTCCTTCATGTATTTACTCATCCAGGTGCCAAAGTAAGGAGACAGTAGGTTTTTTCCGTTTATGAAAAACATTCTGTTTTGGCTGTCTATTCTAAACCTGTTTGTTTGTGTGCTCCAGCTATACTCTTAGGATTGAAGCCATGGTTCTAGAGAGGGAGTTCTCACCCTCCTGTGCTTCACTACAAGATGACATGAAAATTATAAGACGGGCAACAAAAGGTAATTAAACATGTTGAGACATGAATAATACTCTTGTTTTTGTTAGCATGTTAATTAGTCTACATTATGAAGGCTAGAGCTTGAATTTCAGGTATCTAGTAGCTATTAAAAGGAAGCTAACTCCCCTCTGACAAATGCCATCAGGGTGTGCCTGGTGAATCTTTGCTTTGCTTCCAAAATCAAAAATCTAGATGCTTTGAACACACTGGCAATGGGTTCATGACCAAAGCCTACGAACGGTGTAGCCCAAACTGACACAAGCGAAGGTACCATGGCTAAATTCGGAAAAATCTTTGTCTTTAGAGTACAGTTTGCCCGTTCATGCATCACTGCGACTCTTATTCAATCCGTTTATTATACCTCTTTGCTCACCCTTTCAAATATCCGTGGAGAAAATCACTGTATCATTTCTAAATTTCTCTCTATATGGGGTTACCTTTTGAGGTGGCAGTATCAGCAGGCTAAAATCTTTGTTGTAGAGACTAGTTCTATTGCCGTTCCTTTGCCTTCTATTTTTCTTGAATGCCTGTTCTCCGCATTGCATAAGCTTTGAAATGCTGCAGCTGGCTATTCCTAATGTAATCTGGTGTCTTCTACTCTGCAGGAAAATAATTAATTTCCTAATTTCATTTAAACATTGATGTTGAGCTTTTCAAATCCCTTCAGTAACTATTTGTTCTGTTCCTCAGTATGAAAATTCACGTTTTGTGCTGGTAAATTTTATGACCAGCTACTGGAGCAATATCTCGACTGCTTCCAATGGGATAAAAGGGCACAGTAGTAAAAATATTGAATGAGCACCAATTCTTAGGTTAGTCATTTTTAGTGAAAGAAAGGGGGAGTGAAGTCTGGTATGTTCTTTCCAATAGTGGGTATTGAACTGGTCCTCGTTGACTCAGGAAAATACCCATCAGCTTAAGCTAAGGTTTGAGTTTTGCCTTTTATTGGCGCTCTTTCAAATTATTGTTCTTTGTGTTTTGGGCAATAGAGGTGGTGAGTGAATGGGTTCTGTATAGAAGGAGCTGTGCACAGTTGTCCTTCACCCAGCACATCTGTGAACTGATGAGTTCATTGCCTTTAGAGGAGATGCTTTTGTCCCCAGCTCCTGCATCAGGCCAGTCATGCAAATCAGACTGAACCTCCCTGTTTTCAGTCCGCTTGTGTCATGTGCTGGTCTCTATTTGATCTTTTCACTTTAGGGTTTGTTGATCGTCTCAGGTTGTTTAGGAATTATGCCTACTTTTCTTTTCCAAACTCCCATGTTTCTTTCCTTGTAATTAGGCTAAGAGAGTATTTACTTAAATTCTAATGCTGATAATCACTAAGGGTTAGGATGGTCTAAATACCATGATGGATTCTCATCTAGCCTGCAAATGGATGTATCTCACAGTGACGCTGAGCAGGTTCTTACTATGCAAAATCTTTTAGATGCTGCCTTCTCTTCTTGGCTTTGTGAAATTCTCTTTTATATTCTCTTTTGTATTCTCTCCCCTTTCTTCCTCCTTGCTTCCTCATCTATAGCTTGTTAGATGAAAGGCTATTTAATTAGTTAAAAGTTTTTAGGCCAGTAATACTGAAATCCAAAGGCATAAGGGCTGTCTGCTTCCAAAATGATAGATGACTGTATTGTGCTAAGCAGATAAATGCAGAGTAAATTAGAATCTGAACTCTGAAGTAAAATAATTTTAGGAGTATTTACGCTGCAATAAATAACATTTTAAGGAATCTACCCTTTATTGTGTTCATCAGTGTAGAATATAGTACCTTACCTTAAAAGCAACTTGTGTTATTTTCTTGCCATATGGGGGGGCTTGTGTATTTATGGTTATTTGGTATGCAGTGCCATTTGTACTAATTCAGCATTTGTGCTAATGCTAATTAATTAACTCTTTACAGTTCTGGCATTCCATATCTTACTTCTAAGGTGCTTGTCCTGGTAACTTCTAAGCACATGCATTGTTTTGTATTCATGGATGGCTGACGAAAAGGTGTATGAATTCAGATAAAGTATTGCTGTGCGTTTTGCAAAAACAGAATAGGTAGGAAACAGGCTTCTGTGGTGGAAAAGCTTTGAAAGGCAACTTTATTCCATTTAACTCTTTGCATCACACCAAACATAATTTTGTGCTAAATTATCTATGATTTGAGTGAGGTAAAATAAATGCCACTCTGAATTGGTGACTCTATGGAAATAAAATGGTGATCCATAGTGGGAGTGGGAGAAGCAAGGAAAATGTAAATGTTACCTGATATCTTTTCAGGCCTGATGGCTAAGTCTTCCTGTAAAAGCTACTGTTAAAAGCCCAGTCCTGAAAGATGGCAAATGGATACTGCCAGGTGCAGAACACTTGCTTCACACTGGAATTAGTAGCTAGGGAGGATGCTTGACCACTTGCATGAGACACTTTCAACATTGCAGGATTAGGCCTCAAATGTTTTGTGAGCTACTGGAGATTGCCTTGGAAATACTACGCTTGCTAAGCTAAAGTCTGAACGTATACTTGAGGTTTGCCAACTGTGCTTGTGACTTGGAATTGTATAGTGCCATCTTTTTCCCACGGCCTTTCAGTTTATTGTAATTTTCTGTTAAAATAAAAAACTCCACCTTTAAAAGCTTGAGGTGAAGTGGAGTTTGGTAACTGACTGTGTGTATATTTATAAACAAACAAGTGTTGGACAGCAATTTTCTGTTCCTTACAGAGTTAATGACTTGTGAGGAACTGCATTCCATATTGCACTTGGTCCTTCAGGCTGGGAATATTATGAATGCGGTAAGTGACATCCAAAATGGAGATAACTGATTGACCAAATTTCCTTATTAGTATTGCAGTCCACTGATGTCATGTGCTGTAGCTTACCTTACCTTACCTTCCTTTTTAGGGAGGTTATGCTGGCAATGCTGTTGGATTTAAACTGTCATCACTGCTTAAGCTGGCGGACACAAAAGCAAACAAACCTGGAATGAGTCTGCTGCATTTTGTTGCTCTGGTATATAAAAACTATTTTACTGAAAAGGAACTGATATAAGTCTAGAACCAAAGACGATAGAAAGGGCCATGTGCCTCAGAAAAAGAAGTTTTTTTTAAGGCTTTGATCCTAATCTTTTTTTCCTCCCCTGCCACAAAAATCAGTTTTCCTGTCTGGTCTTCCTATCCAGAAACCCATGGAAAAACTTAGATTTTTTTGTGTGATTTAAAAGATTCCCTTCATCTGATTTCTTCATTGTAGTTTTCCCGTTAACTGTCCTGAATGCTTCTACCATAGAAGTGGCTTCTTTTGATAAAATTTCTTTTAATCTTCCTGTTGAATCTCTCAGGCAGCTTTTTTTTTTTTTTTTTCTTTCCTCCCCCTCCCTTGGTGATTGACACACATTGATGCAGATTTTTGGAGTTAATTTTTCCTTTCTTTCAATCTTCTTGATTTAAGAAGAGAGAGGATTTAAATGCTTCCGTATGTGACTTCAGTTACCTGGTACAAGCTGGCTTAGCGGATTTCGAGTCAGCTAGCAGTGGGGTATTAATTGACGTTTGGATGGGAAACG